ATTATGAATGATAGACAACTTTACTTTTTGATGAAGTTGACAATAAGAAAGAACAAGGTCTCTGAACAGCATCTATTTAACTGTTGAATTAAACTAATATTTAACCTAATAAACTGCTAGAATTCCAGTTATATGAGTCCTTTTGTTGTTAAAGGCCATTTAACTATTTTGTTACTTGCACCCAAACACATTCTAATATACCCAATAACCAAGAAACATCTTTTCCAAATAATCCAGAATACATAAAAAGTGAGTCAGAACTGAATTCTACAAATACTACACATGCTACACAAGACCCTCTGCTTAGCACTGTGGGGAATATAAAAGTGAATTAAGGATAGCATGTTGTAATAGAAATAGGCTTTAAAGTCAGATAAACCTGGATCCAATCCTACTTTGGGAAAGTCACTTAATTTCCTTATGCCTTAGTTTTCTCCTCTATAAAATGGAAGAAATAAGACTATAGAATTGTGAGAATTATATCTAATATAAAGCACCAACCATCGCGCTCAGCCCACAGTGGGTATTTAATAATTAGTAGCTGTTATGGTTTAAAAAATGGGAGAAAGCTGGGTGAGGTGGTTCACACCTGTAATCCTAGCAACTCAGGAGACTGAGGCAGGGGGACTGCTTGAGGCCAGGAGTTGACCAGCCTAGGCTACATAATGAGGCCACGTCTCTAAAAAAAAAAAGAAAAGAAAAGAAAAACAATTAATCGGGCATAGTAGTGCACCTGTAGTCCCAGCTACTCAGGAGGCTGAGACGGGAGGACTGCTTGAGCCCAGAAGTTGGAGGTTGCAGTGAGCTATGATGGCACCACTGCAGTCCAGCCTGGGTGACAGAACAAGATCCTGTCTCTTTAAAAAAAAAAGGGGGGGGGCAAATAATTATGATCTGCTGATTGGACTATTTCTAGGGTATGGGAGATTGCCAACAAGGGTTTCAATTCTTCACCCCCTACTGAATCCATGCCCTTTGACATATAACTTTGCAGTACAATCCTGATGTAGACAGGGCATAATTTCCACCCATTACTCAGGCACGTGATTTGCTTTGTCCAAAGGGATGTTAGCCAAGTAAACTTGAAGATAGGCGAGTCATGAAAAGCAGTTGTGCAAATGGGCTGGCATACTCTTACTATTCTGGTATCATCTTAAAAAATGACATGTCCAGGCTAGCCCACTGGCCCCAGAAAGAGGAGGGGCTAGAGCAAAGCAGCCTCAGCAAATCCCAGCCTAGAGCAGACCACCAGTTGACCTGACCATGAATGAGCCTAAGCAAGACCAGCAAAACTGCCCAATCTAGCCCAGCTCAGTTCGGCTGACCCTGGAAATGTATGAGAAAGAAATGCTTATTGTTGTATGCTTTTGAGATTTTGTGGTTGGATATTACATGGCAATAGCTAACTAATACACAGGGTTATATGTGCTGTCTTTAAAAAATCGAAGATTTATACTTCCCTGATACTTGTGACTAAGTGAAAGTTGAGGTTAGGTCTTCTGAGTAGAAGACATACTTATGGAACGTTCCTACTCCATACAATATAGATTGTTAATTCAACTCATTACACTTAAAAGGTTTCATGTGATCTTTTACCAAATTGCTTTCACTCTAACAAATACTAGTTTTCTCAAAAACTTAGAATCTATCCTTACTACAGGTAGTTTAAAAACAAAAACAAAACAAAAATCTAAGTGTCTTACTCCAAGTCCAATTAATGTCTACAATTACAATGAAGACTTGTGGAAATGGTTCAAACCCAGAAAAGTCAAGATCACTACTGTATGAGAAATATTCCTCCTAATGTCAATACTTTAAAGGCATTAACAAGAGCTGTGCTTGTCTACTATAATTACTGATAAATAAAGTGAAGATAAATGACTAATGGTGGCCGGGCAAGGTGGCTCACACCTGTAATCTTAGCACTTTGGGAGGCCGAGGCAGGAGGATTGTGGGAGGTCAGGAGTTCGAGACAAGCCTGAGCAAGAGTGAGACCCCCATCTCTACTGAAAAATGAGTCAGACAACTAAAAATAGAAACAAAAAATTAGCTGGGCATGGTGGTGAGTGCCTGTAGTCCCAAACACTCGGGAGGCTGAGGCAGGAAGATCACTTGAGTCCACAAATGTGAGGCTGCTGTGAGCTAGGCTGATGCCACAGCACTCTAGCCTGGGCAACAGAGCAAGACTCTGTCTCTAAAAAAAAAAAAAAAAAAGACTAACGGTGCTCAAGGGCTGTGGTAGATATCAATAATTTATTTTTATGATCCTTAATGAAAGCAAGTCAAATTATAAGGCAAATAAACTTAGAAGTCTCTAGAGACCTGTGCCATCATGGCCTTTGCCAATCCCCTTCTGAAAATAACCAAGAGCATTTGGATATTTGGGCTTCACTGCCATGGGCCTATTAACATCATAATAAAATATTAAATATCATGACATAGGGAGAACACCATGTGAAGATGAAGGCAGAGATCAGGGCAATGCTTTTTTTTTTTTTTTTTGAGACAGTCTCACTTTTTTGCCCTGGCTAGAGTGAGTGCCGTGGCATCAGCCTAGCTCACAGCAACCTCAAACTCCTGGGCTCAAGCAATCCTCCTGCCTCAGCCTCCCAAGTAGCTGGGACTACAGGCATGTGCCACCACGCCCGGCTAATTTTTTCTATATGTTTTTAGCTGTCCAATTAATTTCTTTCTATTTTTGGTAGAGACGGGGTCTCGCTCTTGCTCAGGCTGGTCTCGAACTCCTGAGCTCAAACAATCCACCCGCCTCAGCCTCCCAGAGTGCTAGGATTACAGGCGTGAGCCACTGTGCCCGGCCAGGGCAATGCTTCTATATGCCAAGGAACACCAAAGAGTGCCAGCAAACCACCAAAAACCAGGAGAGAGGTGTGGGACAGATCCCCCCTCCCATCGCTCAGAAGGAACCACCCCTGCTGACACCTTGATCTCAGACTTCTAACCTCCAGAATCACCAGACAATAAATTCCTGTTGTTTAAAGTCAAAAAAAGATATTAATATCATAAGCTATGTCAATATCTCATTAATGATACTGGAAAGACTGGCAATAAATACTCTTTCATAAAGCACGTATTGTATGCTGTATATGGCTATAAACAAGCTAACAAGCTGCAGATTAAGTAAAACATGGCCAAGAGAATGTTGCATTATGACCATTCATTTCTGCCATTTCCACTACACTCCGCTTTTAAATATGTCACATGGGGATCACAGATTTTAAAGGATGTTCTTCTCTGTCAGCAAAACCAACACATGAGCCTTTCTAACGAACTCACATTTCAGAGAACAATCATATACACAGAAAATGCAAAAAATACTTTTACGTTTATTAGTGTCAGAACTCTTGTAGACAGAAGGCTTGAGAGGAGACAGTTTTGTCTTTGAAGAATTTATAACTTCTAAGAATAGAAATATACAGAAAATGTATATTTTGATCTGGGGTGCTGGTTGTGGGGTGCATTCCTTTGTAAAAATTTAGTGAACTCTACCTTTCATATATGTGCTTTTTCTATTATGTCAGACTTTGGTAAAGTCTTAAAAAATTTAATGATACTAACAGCAATATAAGACTAAGTATAGAATGAAAAACATTAACAATTCAGAGTTCAAAGGAGGGATTAGTCACTGTTAATAATACAAGTTCTAACACTTAACATGTATTAAGCAATTTCTACATGCCAGCACTGTGCCAAATAAGCATTTTATATTTCATCCTCACAACATCCCTGCAAGGTCAACATTGTATTAGTAGCATTTGCCACAATTAATTACTCCATCCTTCAAACTTTCCTTTCTATTCCAGGCCAATATGTTCTCCTGGTTTTCTTACTACCTCACTAGCTGCTCTTTCTCAGTCCACCCTTCTCCCCAGACTTAAAACTGAAATAATACTCTAGGGCTCACCTCCTGGTCCTCTTCTCTATCTATACTCCCTGGGCCAGGTACTACTATTATTATTCCCACAATACAGATGAAAACATTGAGGCACAGATAGATTCAAACCTAGGCAATCAAGACTTCACAGACCATGCTCTTAACCTCCTCACCATTCTGCCTTCTTTGGCCTTTCATTTAAGTGGCTGAACACAGTTATACACATTCCATTCTAGTGCCTTCAGTAACTGAAAAAAGAGTGAGGTACATGGGACCCTGCTTCATAAGATATTAAGGACTAATACCAGGCATTAAGCCAGCAGGAAACCAGTACTCTTGCAAATTCTATTAAACAACTTTCCTTCCTAAGTTTCTTCATTTTGTACTTTGGTAATTACTGCTCAAGCAGGAATGTGAAAACATTCTAGAACATAGATTCTCAAATGTAGGTGCTCATGAAATAATCTGGGAACTTTTAAAAATAACCAGATGTGCTCTATGCAGACCTATTAAACCTAGAAGATTCCAGGAATTTGTGTTTTGAAGGAGCACTCAAACAAATTCTGAAGCTGATAACTTGGTAGCTGAATTTGTTCTAGAGAGAGTTTTCTGGGGCTTCAGTGGATAAGTAATGACTATCACATATTTATCTTCCTAGCAGAGGCTGGAAATGAAATAAGAATGGAGATGTAAACCAATTCCAACAGGTAATGAGACCAATCAGGAAACCAGAGAAACAACTGTGGAATTCTAGATCAAGACATCAAACATTTCCAGGTGGTCTGGGAATCTCTTGCCACAAGAGAGTGTGCAGTCAAGTGAAACCATCCCTTGGCTTAGGAAGGAGTCATCCAGGCATCAAGAACCAATTTTACACTTGAGCACTCATATTCTCAGAGTACTCACCAAGTATTATGAAGGAATATAAGGATATTAAGAGATATGGCCATTGTTCCCAGGCAACAGAAGAAATCACTGTTAACACTGCCATTTTCACATAAACACATATGCACATACGTTTTGTTTACATATGCAAGCAACACTATGGAACCATAAATTCTGAAACTAAGGCAAAGAAGTCATTTCAACACACTTTTTGAAGTCTTACCTCTGTAAGTGCATGCAACTGTCCTTGATGAACACACACACCCATGAACCTAAAAAACAAAATAGATTTTTATTTAACAAATGAAATGAACACAAATATAAATGTCATATGGAGAAACTAGTTTAGTTAACCATGCATTAGAAACAATCCAATACCTGTGAAGACCCCTGGATTCCTGTACAACCCTGTAGCCTCTTAATCATGACTGAGATGCCAGGCTGATAAATTTCTAAATTTACCACGAAATATCTGGTTGTAGGAGGACCTAGTGGTAAAAACAAGTGGAGGAAAAGGGAGGGTAGTAAGTCTTAAAAACAGAATGATATAATGCAAAAAGCACCAAATGGAAATAAGTAAATTTGATGCTGGTTTCAGCTATGCCAATACCTGACTACATGCTCACCACCCTCCCCTCCCCCCACGAAAAAAAGGAAAAAGAAAAAAGTCACTAACTCTATTTGCAACTCAGTTTCCTCATCTAAAAAGTAAGTAGGTTGGACTACCCAATCTGAAGGTCTATAATTTACAAACAACAAACTGGGGGAAAAAAAAACATACATTTGCTGGGTGACAAAGGACTAACTTCTTTAACATACAAGGAATACGTCCAAATATATAATCAAAAAGATAACCCAATAGAAAAATAAGTAAAGGGGCCGGGCGCGGTGGCTCACGCCTGTAATCCTAGCTCTCTGGGAGGCCGAGGCGGGCGGATTGTTTGAGCTCAGGAGTTCGAAACCAGCCTGAGCAAGAGCGAGACCCCGTCTCTACTAAAATTAGAAAGAAATTAATTAGACAACTAAAAATATATAGAAAAAATTAGCCGGGCATGGTGGCACATGCCTGTAGTCCCAGCTACTCAGGAAGCTGAGGCAGGAGGATCACTTGAGCCCAGGAGTTTGAGGTTGTTGTGAGCTAGGATGATGCCACGGCACTCACTCTAGCCCGGGCAACACAGTGAGACTCTGTCTCAAAAAAAAAAAGAAAAAAAGAAAAATAAGTAAAGGTATATATATAGTTTAAAGAAAAATAAGTATAAATGGCTAATAAAAAATACCAAAATATGCTCAAAATCACTCATATTTAAAGAAATGCACATTAAAACAAGGAGATACCACTTTTTAAATCTATCAAATGAAGAAAAAGATTAAGATTGATAATGCTCAGTGTTGTCCAGAAGGTGAGGAAACTTACATACACCATTGAGTTCTTGGCACAAATCTTTCAAAGGGAAATTGATTATATATAGCAGAATTTCTAACTGCTCCAACTATTCCACTTCTAGGAATTTATCTTACAAATATACTCAATACAGGTGAGCAAAAATACCTGTAAAAGGATGTTATCTATGGTCTAAACGATTGTGCCCTTCCATCCCCAAATTCATATGTTGAAACTAAATCCCCAGTGTGACAGTAGTAAGAGGTGAGGCCTTTGGGAGATGATTGGGTCATGAGGGCTCTGTCTTCATGTATGCAATTAAGGCCCTTATAAAAAAGATGCCCAAGAGAGCTTGTTTGCTCCTTCTGCCATATGAGAACACAACAATGAGGCACCATCAGACACTGAATATGTTGGCACCTTCATCTTGGACTTTCTAGCCTCCAGAACTATGAGCAATAAATTTCTACTGTTTATAAATTACTCAGTCTAAGGTACTGTGCTACAGCAGCCTGAACAAACTAAGACAAAAGATAGCTACTTTAACAGTGTATATGAATCTAAATATCCATGAAAAAAAGACTGCTTAAATATTTATGGTATATTCACAGATCAAAATGCTATATGGCCATTACAAAGAATAAAGTAGATATTTAGGCACTGATATGGGAAGGTGTCCAAAATATATAGTTAAATGAAAACATCAAGCTACAAAACAATATAGAATGATTCCATTAGTGTAAAAAAATGTTTATATATTAATAGAAAATGTCTAGAAGCATTACCAGGTGGTACTGCAGAGGAGGTAAAAGGTGATTTGTATTTTTTATTTTACATACTTCTGTTATATTTGAAGTTTTTTTCAACCAAACAGGTTATATTTAATAATTCTAAAGTAAAAACCATAAATCAATGATTATGACTGATGACCATAAAGTAGGAGAAGATAAATGTCATAAAGCCAGTAACAATAGCGGTTTGGGTTATTGAGAAGGAAGTGTCATTAATAATATCAAAGTCTCAAGTAAGTTCTATTGTACTTTAGAAGGGCAAAGAAAAGGGAAGAGATTGACTATAGCAGGAGCGCAAGGCACATCAGTGACTGTGTTGGAAAGGACCATAAAGTTCCACGAAGGCAGACACCATGTCATATTCTTCTGTGTGTTCGCAACACCTAGCAAATATTAATAGTATGCAAACTCAGTAAATGATTGCCAAGTGAAATGGAACTGAGTAAGGAGAGTGCCTGCTTGGCTGTTCTATCACAGTAGAGTTTTTGAGACATGCTGCTTCCACATTTCAATTAATCTGGAACTATCAGTTTCTCCAAGGGCTGGTTTCTGGACTGCTAGTTTTCTGTAAGTTCATCTAGAGACATGATGGGAACTTGAGAAAGGAAAGAACCTGAGGAAAGATCTAGTTAGTACCGAAAACAGGATGCGGCTCCAAAGACTAGTTGAAACTTACCTCTGGCTTAAAAGAGATGGGAAGTGAAATAGCAGAGTAATTAAAAGGACTCTGAAATTAGAGGATGTGGGTTCAAATTCCACCTCCACTTCTTTTACTAGCAAGCATTAGTTTTCCCTCTGTGAAAAATGGGGATAATAGTGTCTACAACATAAGGTTGTTAGAAAGATTGAAATAATAAATGTAACGTATATAGCACCGTGACTGGTACATAGTAAGAGTTCAAAAGAAGGTAAGCAATTATCATAATTGTAACTCAGAAGTGGACCAGGTAAAAATAAAATTTAGTCAAAAATCAAATTTGCCAGATGGCTGGCAAGAAGCTGGTTTCTATATAATTACTCTCCTCTCCATTCTCCAACTGTTGTCCCTAACCCTACTTCCTGCTTGGTAAAAGTGGAACATTTGACCTCATTCACCTGTCATTTTCTTCACTACGAAACCCACCACCTAATATGGAAGAGAGTGAGCAGGAGGAATGTGGAGCAGGTAAAAGTCTAACAAACAATGAATACAAGCAACACAGAGTGCTGAAGGACTAAATCTGGGATGCTGAAGCTGTTTTTAGCCAACATGGCAGTGTCTATGAGATATACACATAGAGCATCTGAGAGTTTTTGTCAACATCAATAATTTTAGTTGGGTAAAAGAGAGTAAGTTGCACTGAAGTGGAGGAAATTTGGACAAGATGACTAAGAAGACAACTGATCTGAGAGAGCACCATTTGTACAGATGTCTTTAAAAAGGTTGCTGGGTACAGTGACGTGAGCCTGTAGTCCCAGCTACTTGGGAGGCTGAGGTGGGAGGATTCCTTGAGCCCAGCCTCGGTAACATAGTAAGACCTCATCTAAGAAAGATAAGAAAATAAATAAAATAGGTCACTCTTCTTAAAATGTTGTATGAACAATTCCCCAATCACTGGAATTATGAGAGTAAATATGCCATTTATTTATTAAACAGGCTGGGCACACTGGCTCATGCCTGTAATCCCAGCACTTTGGGAGGCCAAGGCGGGAAGATCACTTGAGCCTAGGAGTTTGAAGTTGTGGTGAGCTATGATGGTGCCACTGCAATCTAGCCTGAGTGACCAAGTAAGACCTTGTCTCTTAAAAAAAAAAAAATTATTAAACAATTAGTTATTGAGTGGCTACTATGTGCAAGACATTAAGGACAGGACAGCAAATAAAACAGAAGTCCCTGCTC